GACAGGAGGACGCGTGGGGTAAGAAATCTTGAGATTAGCGCGGCGCGACACGACGTCATGGCGGCTCAACCCACCAGACGTCTCAACGCGCCTAGAAGCGACCTGATGTCGCACTTTGTCGAGTCACTCAGCCCTGAACGCGCATAGCGCCGCCGACAAGATGCCCTCCCTTGTGCGCAAGCTGCTCATCTTCGCCGCCGTTGATGGTCTCATCCTCCAGCCGTCCCCGCCCCGCAACCATCCGCCCGCGACGCAGCAGGCCATCAAGGTCGACTACAAGGGCAACGTCGGCCCCCTGTTGAAAGACAGGCGCGAAGAAGAAACAGCGCCCGTGTCTGTGGAAGCGCATGGCATTATCGGTACGCGCGCAATCATTGGCGCATTGCGGCACAAGCTGACCCTACTCTAAGGACTACTCAAAGTGGCTACTTCCTACTTCCTGATATCCATATCCGACCGCGAACAGGTGGCGCTTATACGCGGCAAGCCCATCTACAAAATCAAAAATGTCGCCCTCATCCCCCTCTCCTCGCAAGCCGACGCCGACAAGGCCATTGCAGCCACGCGTGATCATTTGAAGCGCCGCAACAGGGCACCCGGCCTGGAAGACGAAGATAGCGCTAGCGATAGCGAGGATGGCGCGCCCAGTGTGACGGACTCGCTTGTAGAGGACTCATCGTCCACACCAAGCGAGGTCAAGGATTCGGTCACCGGACAAAAAGGCAGTGCGCAGCGCAAGACAAGTGTGGCCGAAGACGTTATACAAAGAAAAGGTGTATATGGAAGATTCGCTGACAAGTGGTTCTCGCGCAAGGGTTGGAGTGCTGACAACAGGCGTCTGCAAGGGCTGAGCTCAGAAGAGAACCTGGCGGCAAACAACGTGCCGCAGAACGTTGACTCGGGGGTGCCCAAGGAAGAAGAACAACCTAAGAGCGAGTCTAAGCCGGATGCCATCCCTACAGATGACAAGGACATTTCGGAGCCAGTCAGCCCAGAAGCCATACCCAAGGCCCTGGGCGGCGAGAAGGACGCAGCCACTGTAGCACTCTTACCAAAGATTCTGCAGACCACCAAAATGTACTTTTCATCAGGCAACTTCTTCTTCTCATACGACTATGACATCTCACACGGTATTGGCCAGCAGCAAGCAAGTTCTAGTGTCGCCCTGTTTAAACAGTTCGATCCTTTGGTCAGTTTACACCCTGTCCATGTAACGGACGATTGCTCACCAGTATATAGTTCTTCTGGAATCAGCACATCATCGCACCTTTCATTGACGCGGGCCAGCATGCTTTTGTGCTCCCCGTAATGCAAGGCTTCGTTGGTCAACGACCTTTCACGATCAAGACAGCTGATGACCAGTCGAACAGTCTTGTAGTCGACCCGAGTGCCACTCCAGATGACATCCAGCTCCAGTCCTGGCATGAAAAGCAGAAAGAGGACTCACAGTCCAATACGGAAAGCAATGGCGAAGCATCTGATCCCGATGCCTCTCTTGTGGACGGAAAAGACTTCCTGTTGACACTCATCTCGCGACGTTCTATCAAGCGAGCTGGGCTTCGTTACCTACGACGGGGTACAGATGACGAGGGCTGTACCGCGAATAGCGTCGAGACGGAACAGATCCTATCCAACCCGGCTTTTAGCACGACGCAAGACAAGATCTTCTCTTTCACACAGATTCGAGGCTCAATTCCCCTGTTCTTCTCTCAATCGCCCTACAGCCTTAAACCACAAGTCTCTACTTGGGGATCGTTTGAGACTAATGCTCGCGCTTTCAAGAAGCATTTTGCCGATCTGTCTTCACGCTATGGCGATATATACTGTGATTCGCTCATAGACAAACACGGTACTGAGGCGAAGATTGGTGAGCTTTATGAACAGCATTCGAGGTCGCTCAATGAGAATGGCGGGATGGACGGGAAAGGCAAGCAGCTGGGTTTCGAATGGTTCGACTTCCACAACGTGTGCCGCGGTATGCGCTTTGAAAACGTCTCGAAGCTGATGGATTCAATCGAACCTTTCATGAAATCTTCTGGATGGGTGGAGATCTTAGGAAATCAAGTACAGCAAAAGCAGTCAGGCGTCTTGCGTACAAACTGCATGGACTGTCTGGACCGCACCAACGTTGTTCAATCTGCGTGCGCCAGGACTGCTCTTGAAGCACAACTGTCAATGGGCAGTTACAGCATCGATCTCCAGAACGACCCCAGCACATCGTGGTTCAACACCCTCTGGGCTGACAATGGCGATGCCATATCTCGGCAGTATGCTGGCACTGCTGCGCTAAAGGGCGACTTTACGCGTACCCGGAAACGGCAGATAACTGGTGCGCTTACCGATTTCGGACTGACACTCACGAGATATTACAACAACATCGTGAACGACTACTTTGCTCAGGCAGTCATCGACTACCTTCTCGGTCGCGCTACCGATACCATCTTCGCGGAATTCGAAGCCGATATGAAGAGCTCAGATTACTTTATAGATGTGCGCAAAGTGCGGCAGCAGGCCATTGAGCGTTCTGCTGGAATCGTGATTGAGGATCGCGACGAAGACCTGGTACATGGATGGACGTTGAGCGTACCCACTGCTGTTAACCAGGTCAAGACTGCTACATTTGAGGAAGCAGTCCTTCTACTAACAGAAAAGGCCTTGTACTTCTGCCGTCTCGACTGGGGAACAGAGAAAGTACGCGAGTTCGAGCGTATCCCGCTGGAGAACGTGCAAGGCCTCATGCGAGGTGTGTACGTTACGTCCACACTGGCGCAACGACACACCGACACAGACAAGAACGTTGGTCTCATCATACGATATCGAGCCGATACCAAGGGCGAGCTAGTACGGCGCAATACAAGGGCTCTAGATTCCGGAGCCGCCAGCGATGAGCAACGCAAAGACGACGCCAAGAAAGACCAGAAGCAGGATACTGCGGGCCGCTTCCTAGCGTTCAAAGCGCTTCCACCGAGAAGCAGCGTTCCGTCATCCCCTGGCGACAACCCTGACAATGAAGGCGAGGTTGTCAAATCGGTATGCGATGAGATTGTGAGGATCGCCAATGAGATGAAGAAGGGCGGCAGGGATGAAGACAGGACACTGAAAGTAGAGGAAAAGGATATAATCAGCCTTGTGGACGCGAAGAAGAGTACCGGCTACCTGGAACAGTTTGAGTATTCCTTGAAGAAGCTTGTTTGGGGCTAAGCCCGGTCTGATACTGGCCATGTATAATGTCTTGTCGTTTCTCATTGTATCTTGTTCAGGAAGCCGTACATAAACCTTTGGAAAGATGCTCGTATCATGCAATACAATCATCCTGTAGATAGTTACGTTTCCACCATACGGTGTGTCTGAATGGTGGACTTGCCTTGATTGGGGTATAATCTCCTTGCTCCCTATACTTCCCGATGGTCTCGGACGGTCACATCAAGAACAGCGGAGTCCAGCGACCGGCACGGCGGATTCACGGCGCTTCCAGGTCCCGGCGACTGAGGTGCGTGTGGGGACAATGCGGGTGGCTGCTGGCTACCTGACAAGCTTGCGAGAGCTATATCGGGAAATGCATCCGCTTTACTTGTGCAGCACTGCATGTCGAGGGTGCTAAGTGATGTGATACTAAAGACTTGAGAGCGGTGCACCGAGATATATGAGGAAGTCGCGTCACAAGCAAGCCAGCTGGGGAAGTAATGAAAGCACTGGTAAGCATCGACCCAGTTTCCTCTCCGCGCTCCAACATCTCCTTTCCCCATCCATCCTCTGCCCGGCGACTCCACTATTCCACGCGATGAAGCGCTTGCGTCGCTGGGACTTGTTTAATCATCAGCGGACCCGCGCCGCATCTTTTTCGGTGCAACGTTCTACGCTATGTCATCGGCACATGCAGCGAAAGACACGAGCGCAACAGTGATCGGTCTCATCGCCCCGTAGCGATGGTCACGGCCCACCTAGAGCCTCACCTCGTATAGATGTGGTCAATGGAGTGCGCCGGCGCGTCGACCGACATGCCAATCGCATACCAAAGGATGGGTCAGCTGAACGCCTTACCACGGCCCAAAATGCCACGCCCTCTCAGACGACTTGTTGAAGCTTGACAGCTACAGGCTTGCTCGGCACTCGGCTGCGAGCTTAAGCTTTCCATTCAACGGGAGGCGCATGATACGACAACGCTAGCGGCGGCACGGTTGCACGAGGAAAAGCGGGCCGACGTCAGCGTCTCGCGCGATGACTGGCTGCATGCCGTTCTTGATTGCGGTGCGTGACGTCAACTGTGGAAACTCCATGCTGTGCTCTGAGCGCGAATTGCACATCGCAAAGGCCCACCAAGAACGAAAATTTCTGCTTCATGGGGTGCCCTTGGGGTGCGAAATTGTGGGTGTCTGGAGTCTGGAGGAAAAATGGAGAGACATTGTGCGGAGTGCGGAGGGCTCGCATCTCCGGGTCGATGAGATGGATGCAACCATCAGCATCCTTTGTGGTACAGCCAAACCAGGAAAGGCGAGCATATCGATGATCGCAGCTCCGAGTTCCGTGGCAGGAGGCGCCATGGAAGGCAGAAAGCTTCATCCGCCTCGTTGCCAACCCGTTCCCGTTGTCTCGGCATCAATTGTCCCAAGATTGCGACTCAACACACAAGCACTAAGCCGACGGATCGTGTCAGGCTTGTCATCTCTTCACTCCGCTGCAAGGTTCCACATCATGCTCCCACCAATCAACGCGTCGTTCTTCGGAGACTATACCAAGCCAGGAAGCACATCAGAGTGTTTTCCGACCGACGAAGGGATGACCGTTACCTGGAACCGTGAAAGGTCCGCTGCGGGGCTCCCACGTTGTTCCTGGCTCCCCTGACCCAACCTGCGCGTATGGTATCAAGCCGAGGGAAGCGTGGCATATAAACCCTTTTCGCACCCCGAACGCCAGGCTTGTTCTCCTGTAACCACGCCTGCCAACCTCCGGGTTTCTTTTATACATCCATTGCAGGGTGATTGGCAAGACAAGATACCACCATGGGTTACCAGATCGGCAACATCTACGGCATCACCGCCATTGCGGTCATCGGCGGTGGACTGTTTGGTTTCGATATCAGTTCCATGAGCGCTATGTACGTACTCGCCGTGGCGATCTGAGACTGATGCTAACATTCATAGTTTGCCAACTCAACAATACCGATGCTACTTCAACCAGGGGCCTAAGGGTCCTCCCTTCACAGGCCCCGAGGACGATTGCTCTGGTCCTACCGCCGATGTCCAAGGAGGCATCACTGCAGCGTGAGTCGGCTCTCACCATGTATTGCATCTTCAGCAACTGACTCAGTACAGTATGCCTGGTGGTTCTTTCGTCGGTGCTCTCGTCTCTGGTTACCTTACGGATAAGCTCGGTCGTCGCAGGGCTATTCAAATCGGTTGTGCCATCTGGATCATTGGTTCCATCATCTCCTGCGCCGCTCAAAACATCGGCATGCTCATCGTCGGTCGCTTCATCAACGGTCTCTCTGTCGGTATCTGCTCCGCTCAAGTCCCTGTCTACGTCTCTGAACTCGCTCCTCCCTCCCGCCGCGGTCGTGTTGTAGGATCCCAGCAATGGGCGATCACTTGTAAGTACCCACTCGACAAACTCCTGGTGAGACAAAAGCTAATAAGCGCTTCTCAGGGGGAATTCTAATTATGTACTACATCTCCTACGGCTGCAGCTTCATGGAAGGCACCAAGGCTTTCCGTGTTCCATGGGGTCTGCAGATGATTCCTGCTGTTATCCTTGGTATTGGACTTCTGTTCCTGCCGGAATCTCCTCGTTGGCTCGCCCGTCACGACAGATGGGAGGAGACACAGGCCGTTCTTACCCTGGTTCACGGCAAGGGTGATCCCAACAGTCCTTTCGTGAAGCTTGAGCTTGATGAGATTCGTCAGATGATCGAATTTGAACGCCAGAACGCCGACGTTTCCTTCATGGAGCTCTTCAAGCCCAACATGATCAACCGCGTTCACATTGGTATCTTCACTCAAGTCTGGTCTCAGCTGACTGGTATGAACGTCATGGTAAGTTCTGACTGTACCAACTGCATGTGAAACTTATACTGACTTCGTAACTCTCCTTCTGCAGATGTACTACATCACATACGTCTTCGGCATGGCAGGTCTTACCGGTAACATCAACCTCGTCGCCAGTTCCATCCAGTACGTCATCAACGTCTTGATGACAGTCCCTGCTCTTCTCTTCATGGACCGCTGGGGTCGCCGTCCTATGTTCGTCATCGGCGCAGTCCTTATGATGATCTGGATGTTCGCCAACGCTGGTCTCATGGCATCCTACGGCAACCCCGCTCCTGAAGGCGGTCTTGGTGGTATTGCCGAGCAATCCTGGGAGATTACTGGCGCGCCTGCGAAGGCTGTCATTGCTTGCACATACCTCTTCGTCGCTTCTTACGCGCCAACCTGGGGTCCCGCGTCTTGGGTCTACCCACCAGAGATCTTCCCTCTCCGCATTCGCGGAAAGGCCGTTGCCGTCGCTACCTCATCCAACTGGTATGTACAAACCTGCTTATGATGCTTGAAATCATTACGTACTGACTCCGCTCCAGGATCTTCAACTTCGCCCTCTCCTACTTCGTCCCACCCGCTTTCGTCAACATCCAATGGCGCGTCTACATCATCTTCGGTGTCTTCTGCCTCGCCATGGCTATCCACACGTTCTTCCTGTTCCCCGAGACGGCTGGAAAGACGCTCGAGGATGTTGAGGAGATGTTCATGGCTGGAGTTCCCGCTTGGAAGACTAGGGTCGAATACAGCAACACTCGCCGTGCTGAGCGTGGCGAGGTTGATAACGAGAAGGGTCTTGAGCACAGCCCCGTTAGGGTTGAGAACGCCGAGACCAAGGCTTAGGCTCTATTTAGGAGGTAATGATCGATGGGGAATGTCTGGCATTGGATATGATGAAAAGAGTAACGGCCACTGGATTGTTTTAATCGCAAAGGTACCAACGAACACATTTTGTCATGATTGTTCCATTCCTTGGTGATGTAGATTGCAGCGTATTGTAACATCCGACCCTGTTGATACGGTATCTGTCGACATGTATATCTCGGTAGTTCACAACAGTTACTCGATATACGACCAGACATACCGTCTGCAGTGCTGATCCCCCCAATCCTTTTCGCCGAACATCGTCCGCCTGACGCGTGTGCCCAACTAGGCTAGCGCGACGCGTCGCGACTTCCGCCCGCCTTTCGTTCCTCGTTCACGTTCATCCCATCTGCAGTGTTTTGCTCGGTATCTTATCCACTGCAGCTCAGTTCGGCATGTGCTCTGGTTCGACCCCTATCTTTTGCATTCATGCGCCGATTGGGAACGGTTCGCGAGACGCGCAAGTGGCCCCGGCTGGTGAACAGAACTCTTTGAAGCAGGAGAGATGCTGTTTGCGTGATGGGTGACATTCATGCTCCCAATCATCACAACATGCGCACGTTGTTTAGAACAATGATAGCGACTTGTTCATTGGTGGTATCTATGTATATAAAACCCATATACTCCTTCACCTCGACAACTCAATAGGCGCCGCATTGCTCACGCTTAGCAGACAGCATGTGTCTTTCCAGTCTTTGCCTGTAGACTGTGGTCCTCGTCGAAGTGATCAGTCGCCTTCTTCTTAAAGATGGGGCTGATAATGGTCGAACGACGACGCATTTCAAATGCATGCTGCCTGTGCTCTTCGATCTTCTTCGCGTCGAGCTTGTCAAGCGTCGACAGCGCAAGCTTGAAGTCGGCAAGCAGTGCGTCACAACGAGACTTGGTGAAGTCCTCGCGCACAACTACACGCAGCATCTTCATCTTCTCGGAGTGAGGGGCCATCGTGTATGCGGGAACTACCCATCCGCGCTCGCGGAGTTGATGAGCACTGCTCTCGTTAGTTGCAGTTGCAGAAACAATGGGGTGCACACTTACATGGCGAACTCATCGTACTGCTTGCCAAGATCTTCATCAATGCGGCAAGCAACGAGAGGAAGTCCAGCGCCTCCCCTTTGACTCATGATGATAAAGCCCAACGCCTCGAGGTTCGCGGCGAGATAGTCGGCCGTACGCGTCAGGTTCAGCATGATCTTCCTGTATCCTCGCTTGCCAAGACGAATGAGCTGGTAGTACTGTCCAATGATTTGCGAAGCGCCGCGGGAGAAGTTGAGTGTGAAAGACGCCTGGTCAGCACCAAGGTAGTTGATGTTGAAGACGAGCTCCTGGGGAAGGTACTTGGGGTCGCGCCACACGACCCAGCCGACACCGGGGTATACAAGTCCGTACTTGTGGCCAGAGACATTGATGGTCGTGACCTTTGGTAGGCGGAAATCCCATAGTAGACCTGGGTTGACGAACGGAGCGACGAACCCACCGGACGCGGCGTCGACGTGAATATCAACGTCGATATCCTTCTCGACGAGAAGGTCGTTGATGGCTTTGATATCTTCGTATTCGCCAGTGTAGGTCGTTCCCAGGATTGCGCCTATTCGAATTAGCTCACTGTCCTCTCATAGATGCTGTAATACGTACAAATTCCAATGGTGTTCTCATCGATGAGATCAATGCATTCCTTGGGGTCCATCACATAGCGCTCAGTAGTGCAGTATACGTATCGCTCTTCGATATCAAAGTATCGGCATGCTTTCTGCGTACAATCAGTATGCTTCTCCCTCTTATTCGCCCGAAATGGCTCGACAATAGGCTACATACCTCCCAGCAGACCTGCACAGCCGAGTTCATGATCATGTTTGGCTTGTCGTAGGGCTTGCCCTCGGCCTTGCGCTTGTTTTGCCAAAGCTTCTTCTGGGCCAGTACACCCAACTATGCTGTGTCAACTCAACGGCTTCCAGCTTCATACCACTGTATTCACTGACCATGATGGCTTCAGAAGACCCAATGGTAGAAGTACCAATTGTGTTCGCCTCTGGATCTGCCGGCGCATTGAACAACCTGGCGATCATCGATACACATCCTGTTCACAATTCAGTAAACATTCCTCCGCCCACTTTGTAGTGTATGTACGAACGGTTCTGGATATCGGCGCTGACGGGGTACTCTTCATAATCGATGAAGTTTTTCGAGAAGGCGTCGCTGAGGTAGAGGGTTATTGGGAGGTCACGAAACGCGGGCTTGTTCGACATACACCATAAGCTTCTCGGCCTCTTCTTCCTGCTCATGTGTCAGTCCTTGTCCATCTGATGAATTGTCATTAGAGCTTACCATGTACGTTGTAACGAATGAAGCCAAGTTCAGCGTCGGGGTGCCGTCGAGCGTGAGATCGTCCTTGATCATGCGGTATGCACTAGCATATCGTCAGCGATGCTGTCGCAGTTGTGGTGCGGCAAATGGTTTGGTGTGTTCGAGGCTAATAGTGCATGTAGCAAAGCACGTACACATGAGGAGGCATTTCTCGGTCCTAGATCGTGTCAGTTCCGGGTATAGCTACTCAAAGGGGCTGGGCTCACCGGCATCTCGTGTCTCGGCAGATCTTCAGCAGCATATTTGGAACCGTAGACGGTAGCAGTGTAGTCGTCTGCTTCATCGTCTGGTGTCAGATTGATGGTAGTAGTGGCATCAATGGCCTCGAACTGGCTCTGCTCCTCGGAGACTTCCTTGTGGGTTGCTACACGGTTGATATGCACCATGCTGACGGTCGTAGGATGTGTTTGTCGAGGGGTCTGGAAGAGATAATCGTGCCTGCCTTCTATGATCGAGGTGCAGGTGCGAGGAAAGATCAAGGAGGAAGAGAAAGCAGGAAGCCACGTCAAGAAAGCAGACAAGGCAGCCTAAGAACAACCGGAGCTGCCGCAGAATCAGCAGCTTATATCGCTCACCAGCTCCTGACGCGCCTATCATGCAGCATCAACACGCCGCCCGCGTTCCAGCTCACTCTGCTACCCCACCACGACTTGCATACGACATACGTTGGGGGCCACCTGCTGCAGGCCGACGCTACACGACGCGTACGTCGATTCATCATCCAGACCGCCTAGCGCGTCTCCGTAGCCATTTACTCTACATGAGGCGTTTGAACTGGGAATAATCCAAGTAAACAGACGCACGATGTCGCGCCCAAGGTGCTCATTCGAGAGCGACAACATGTCATAGCGGGGTACAGGCCGTTCGCTAAGCATTTGGCCCGTGAAGCTTGTCTGGCTAGTGGCCCTGTTTCCTCACACCGCCCTGCACATGCCTTCCTGCTTTCGGCGACGAGCTAACGCCTTTCGAGATGGACTATCGGCGGGGTAGTGCCAGGTACGATCTGCCCGGGCGAGTGTCGGGTTCTGCTCAGCAATGACATTTCACAACCTTCGGGGCTGAGAAGATGTGCGCTGGTTGTGGGTATCTGCTAAGCCATGGCGGTTTATGCGTAGCTGACGAGAACGTCTTCGCAGCAAGGTCGTCGCACAACAGGCACGGCGTCAGCAGAGTTCGGTCGCAGGTTCGCTTCCAACCTTAACACTGGTAGCGTCCGATTATATGGCTAGGTACTGATTGGATGGCTCTTCTGTGCCGCTGAAAGACAAGGCTGCGGGTAAGTCGCGGCGCGAACCTAGGTGTGCGCAAGTGAGATTCCCAAGCATTCCAATAGGTGAGTATTTCCACTAGTGCTGAGTCAATTGAGCACTGTCACGGCATTGGGGACTGCAGTGCAACATATATTACGGAGGCAAGCAGCGTTGGACTGCAAGCATGGAAGTATATTTGAGTATCGTTTTATACGCAGAGCATTGCGACAATCGGTATCAAATAGCCAAGACATCTCAACGCCTTGACCATGCGTGGTTGCTGAACCGAATCATGTACGCACCGAATGAGAGCTGAATTACAAGCGCAAGCGTGGAACCATAGCAGCGTCAACCCGTCTTGGCCAAGAGAGCAATGCTTGTTATGCTCGAGCAAATGTCGAAAACTGGCTCGGGAGGTGTACTTGCTTCGGCTTCAATTTGCGGGCGGCAGGACGACCCGGGGGTTGAATGTGCACAACGAATGTACAGCGCTTTGGAGTTAGCGAATGTGTTGCTCCGAATAGTTTACATGCGGTGGTCGTAGTACCCAATGCAGGTATTCGAGTCCAAAGGACTACTCCAGTTGAATGCTGGCCGGAGTGCTTGTCTCAACGAATATCCGTACAGGCCGGCGATGAGCTATCTTTAGTCTGTAGGGAGCCTTTTGCTTCATATAATGTTCGCAATGCTGATGCGACTTGTGCCTGACGGTGTCGGACTTGGGTTTGGCGCCATCTTTGGTGGTGGTGGTGGTGCTTCCGGTGCCAACTGCACGCGCTTAACAGGATTATGGGGTGGAGGATAGTAGGCAGGCGATTGCGTGGATCGATGAAGGAGCTCATCCATCAGCTGCTTGACCATTTGCTCAACCTTGCTCCACTCATCCGGTTCAGTTGTAGTGTTCATCGGTGAACCAGATGACGTGCGCAATGGTAGTGCGTCCCGCATCGGTTCATCGCCGCTCGGCGATCTTGTAGCGATGGGGGTCGGGTCTGGCTTCATGCTCGAAGAGATCAAGTTATCACCCGCCCAAACCCAAGAATGCTCAAGGCTGCTTTGAGCGTCCGCACTGACGTACGCGATCATCTCCTCATCCTGCTCGAGCTGATGACTGCTTGCGCGCCCGGTACGCACTCTGTCGAACATCCTTTCGAGGAAGAATACCACGTGCTTTCCGCACGCCGTGTTTACCTTCCGTCGATTGCCAATAGCCCTAGAGAGATGCAAGCAAACGAGTGCAGCCTTGTACTCGCCACGGAAGCATAGCACAAGTATACATCTCCACAAGTGCAAACATACGGCATTGCTCGCTATCGAAGCTACTAGCTCTTCCCATGTTTTTCCAGAATCCTGTTTGGGAGGATTGTGCAAGGCCCTTGACACATACGTTGCCGTGTCTTGAGAAACAGAAAAGCACCGCTTTAGAGCACTCATTCGCTCCGCGAGACCGGCTACTGGAGTCAGATTGCGCCGGTACACACTAAAGCGAGCGGACAACAAGCAAAAGATTGTAGGCAGTGCCGACATGTCGAACAGTGTATTGGAATCAGGCTGGTAGGCTTCAGGAAGGAGCAGCAACTTAAGTCGAAGCTCTTCATCAAAGCTTTGTAGGCTCTGTGGGAGAACTACGCTTGATTTGAGAATTTGCCGCAGTGGCGCATATAGGCGTGTGATGTGTATGTTCGCCATGAACCCAGTATAGTGAGTTGGCTTCGCTAACGAGCGGAAGGAACTGTTCGGTTGGATGTAGCGGTCGTCCACGGCGGATGGCAGAGATATTTCGCAGTCGATTTCGTTGATGATCATAGGCTTGCCTGTCTCAAGCGACATGATCCTGTTTCAAAGTCAGCTGCAGTTGGCAAAAACAGGTGAGAAACAGTTTCCATACCTATCGCGAACGTAGATGGACCACCAGAGCCTACGTCGGATCTCACCGTCGACAAGAGGCCAGACATCGACTTCAGGGCATAATTGCAATTCCTGAGCCATTCTCGCGGCAGAGGCGAGCCACATAGAGCCCGCAGGGCCCAAGTTGCACTCAGTAGCGTAGATGCTCAACAGAAGTGCTGCTTGGGCATATGTAACTGAGACATCATGCGGCCAGGACTGGAGAACAGCAGTCGCGGTCTCATACATTGCCTGGCCCTTTGACACTGAGGTAGGAGAGTTGGTGTGCCCCGGTTCAGCTTGCAAAGCGCCACAAGCCAATACCGCAAAGAATAATCCGACCCATTCACGAGAGCAACCCTCGAATGTTTTCGAAGTGTACACTTCGTCCACTTCTCGCTGAAAAGTGGGCCAGTGAACAGCAGGATACGACTCGTGTATTGTCTCGATGTATGAGCGAGCGAGGTACGCAAAGTCTGCGCGTATTGGTATCTCGGGCGACCGCCAATTTGTCAATCCAGCGCCCTTTGGATCGTGATGGGGTGTAGAAAAGATGCCTTGGGCATGTGTTCGGATGTTGCTGCGGACCTGGTCGAAGTTGTTCAAGGCTGGCATTGTAATCGGACGTGGTCCCGGTATGGCGCCAATCTGAGCTTCAGAAAGCCTGCGCTTCGTGTCTGTCCGTTCGGGATCTAAAGGCTCACCATCGGAGACCTTGGTGCGCAGCTGAGAGTTGACATGAGTCAACTCGGCAATCTGACTCTGAAGATCCTGGACCTGTCTATGCAACGTAAGCAACTGTTCGTCCAAGTGGGCTAAGTCATAACACGTACTTGATGGATGACATTCGCCGGTTGGTCTCCTTGGTGAATTGACACCTGTGGTTACGGCTCGAGCATTCCGAACAAGCCGATGTCTCGGTTGCATCGCACTGTACTAGTGGTCAGTCACATTCTCACATGGTGTCCAGTTCAATGCCCTGACATTGCTCATGGGAGCATGTCAATCTCAGCAAAGCTCATGCGCAACTAGATACGCATGCGCTCGACGCAACTGAAAGGGAAGATGGTCGTCTAGGTGGCCAGTACCTGATCATCCATCCCCAATCTCGCTTGTCCGCCTCTGATGGCATTACTGGAATGCCACCAAAACACTTGCTTTTCATGTACGTATGAACCCTCTATTTTCTTTACTCACCTTGACTTTGCGTTCTCGACAAGCATCGCACGAGGGATCCTTACGTCTCTGTCTGTATGCGCGTTTTTGCGCGTTCAAGTTCGCGGACGATATCTGAGTAGGGGATATCATCAGGCTCGCGCCATCGTGGTTGTGGTCCGGCAGGCTTCCAGATGCCGTACTTGGTGAAGTGGAATGGCTATAAGAGTTTGAAGAATACCCAGGTGAACGGGAGCCAAGCTGTGGGCCAGTAGGCGCCGCCAGAGTAGTCGTGCGAGCAACCGGATGCGACATCGTGAACGGACTTGGTGGTGGTATCATGGTCCGTGGCGACTGCCCACTGGAACCTGGCGGAGATTTGCGCATCGTGAGAGATAGCCCAAGCGCTCGAAGACAGGCCGGGTGTGGGTATCGAAATTCGCTTGGTAGGTAACAAGTTCTAGTCGAGATGATGTCGCTATGGAGAAAGAGTAAGTGGTCTCGGTAGAAGCCGAACACAGCGCTACTCAGAACGGGCCAACGATATTAGTAGCTTGTGGGACCAGGTAGACGTGTTGAACCAATGGAAGTCAGCCGTCAACACCTCATGCTGCCTTGGCGTGATGCAAGATGCGGAAGATGGAAACTTGTGGATGAACAAGATAAGTGACAGGTCTTCGCTCCAAGTGGAGAAACCGTGCAAGCGAGCGGTAGGTTGGGCAGATTGAGTGACTCGGGCATACAGAAGGCTGGAGCGCGATAGTCGGGTCTGTGTCGCCTGAGTAAGTGCTGTCAGCCAGCCGCTCGGCTGAGTGGCCGAGATGCCACAGCTTTAGGTTAGGGTCAGTGGCTAGACTGGTTAGGGTGAACTGCGAGGTGGTGTGTGATGATTGAACTTTCACGGCCGTGAGGAGACAAAAGACGCTTCGGCAGACGGCAAGGTTCGTGGGAACGATGTTAAATCTCGGCAAAGATCCGATGAAGGAAATACTGGGTATTTCGGGGCGTCGTATGGGGCTAGTATGCTAGTCAAAATGCTGCAATGATCAGCTGAATTCTCAGTTGCAGTGAAGTTCGTCTAGCAACCTTGTGGTAAGGCGGTAGAAGGACCCTGTCAGGTCGCCACCTTTCGATCTCGGATGGATGCTCTGAGCGACACAGGGGATTGGCGAAGGTGCTTCGTTTAAAGCACGTGTCGACTTGGCGACGCGCTGAAATGGAAAGGAGCTTCGGGGACCCTGTACAAAGCTCCGTATCCTGGGAGAGTAGGGGACTTTAGCAAGCCTTGTTCAACAACACCACGAAGCAGAGGCCTCCTGTACATTCGACGTACCGGTATACGGGAAGAGCAAAGTTTATTGCGGGTTGATAGTACCACGAATGCCCAGATATGTGGTTTGGCTCCCGTCCACGAGTGGACCGATAGAAGTCGTGCAAACCTATGTTTTTGTGTCTCGTGAGTACTGCCCAATGGCTCCGCGCACGGCATACAGCTGGTGCTGCTTCGACTAGAATGAGACGAAGCGAGTGTTCTAGTTCAAATTCTACACGGGCTGGCAGCTCCGTTAGCAGGCTCGGACGTAGATCCGGATGGCTAGTCTTACCTGACAGCTTGTCCGGCTCTGATGAAGCCTCATGTTCCAGAAGATGATCGGTTCGTGCCTAAATGCCAGACGGTCCACATGGCTTCACCCAAAACGTCCAAGGCATACCTTTTCGGCGAGATTCATACAGGGGTGTACCTGCATGCGGCATTGAAGAAAGGCACTTCGCTAACGCCTGCAGCCATGGCAAAAGCACACGGGATTTCGAATCTGCAAGCACGAGGATTACTCGGATGAAGCGCTCTGGACTTTGAAAGACGATGGCGAAAAAGGCGCCGAAGGATCAGTTTTCGGTCCCCAAGAAGATAGGGAACACCGTCATGGTGGTTCACTAGCGATCTGTCCCGACATGCCCTAGTGGGATTCGCGGAGACTGTAGCCAGGCCTCCCCAGCCACAGCACGTTGAGCGGTGGAATCGCCGTGCACGGTACGCCACAGCCACATCAATTGCCGTGTGGCTTCCGATTTGTTGGCAGACCTTGAACCTACGTAATGCTCACACTGATGTCACTATGAACAAGATTCTTCGTACATCTTCTTGGGTAAGTACACTAAGCGTTGAATTAACACTACCTCATTCAGGACAGTGTTCCGAGAATTGTTCTGCGCGCGTCGCCGGAGAAGATCCCTGACCTTGCGGCGCCCGTCATCAGGCGTGGCACCGCTTGCAAAAACGTGGTTCCCCACGTTGCAGCGCGTGCCCGCGCCCGTCGCGGAAGCCCCACAGGCAAGGCCAATGTATCGCTAGTCTGTCCTTCTGTTGATTTCGAGCTTGGCGTCGACAACGGCTCGGCCAGTCAGATGCAACATGAAGAGCAATGCGAAGCCGAGGTGACCAGAAACCAGGTCAAGGCGGGTGGAAATTTACTGCCAACTGCCGAACCGCTCGTCTAGACCGCGCCGCGGCCCCTCGCCACCTGAAACTGACAGCTGCCGGATAGCAAGCCCGGATAGGTGCCTTACGAGGCTTTTGACGGGCGTCTCAAGAACGGTGCTATGTTTCTGATACACGGCAGGGTACATTGCGGTATCCGCAAGAGCGAGCACCAATCTCAATGGTCTGTAGCATCTGTTGAGCGTGTCGATCAGGACGTGCATACCAGAGGCCCGCAAAATGCTTCTACGGTACGATTTGTGTCTGCAAGTCGGAGTTTTGATCTTTTTATATCCTGTGCGCCGTTGCACATGTCGCGTGGAGCGGAAGGTATGGAATGTGACACCCGACGTCTGCTCAAGTATCGATTTGATGCCGTCCCCTCCGGCCGCATAGTTGTGTGTCGACGAGGCCCGTACGTACTCTGAGTCTGAGTAGTAAACAGAAGTGAAAAGATCTACAGTTGTGATCGCTCGTTGATCATCTATGATTGCGCGGCCCCCTGGCGGGTCGGTAGCTTCCGTCCAAGGAAGGCAGCCGATGGGGTTTCGAGAAAACAGACTGGGATGACAGGAAGAGTAGCGTGCTGTGAGCCGCTCATCTGCGAGAATGGACCGAATGTGTCTTGGCGGACCCGAAGTTGAGTTCTGCAACCCGAGTTTGACGTGCGATCGGCCCTCCGATAAGACGCCGTTGGAGGCAGGCTAAAATTTCGCCGGTGATCTTTCGCCTGGCGGTTTCCAACCGGGGCGATCAGCACATGTCAGTCCCGAATAGGAGGTCATGCAGAAAATCTCTTAGACGCTTGGAGAAAGGGAGAAGCTTGTCTCTGGCGGGCGGATGGAGATCTGCGAAATTCGGAGTCGTGTTGGGGTAGAGTGGCGACGTGATAACGCGTCGTCCTGTTCGCGGCAGTTTCTCCAGGTCGGCGAGGAGAGCGAGAACAGTATGTATCGACAGCAAAACCGTTGAAGGATGCACGTTGATGCTCCTGCAATATCCGCTACGCTCTTCATGGTGGGTGCGCGTGGTGTCGTCGGAATGCGCCAAGTTCTTCGCGCCTTCCATGCCTCCCGCCGACTAGGAAGCCGGTGTTTACTTCCGATACTCGAGGCGGGCGCACTGGAGCGCGCACACTACCTGGGCATTGGACCTTCGCTCGCGTGCCGTAGCCATCGTCGACATCTCACTTGAGCAATTCGATTGATTTACGTTGAGTCTCGACGTTGTGGCCCTCGAGTCCAGCCATGTCTCACACCAGCGTCCCCATTATGTCCTTGTACGATGCTCCGAGATTGCCGCACACCTAGATCCGACAACCTTAACTGCACCTCTAGCCAACACTCGAGATAATGCTTTTTCTTGTAGCGCAGCGCGCGGCGCAGATAAAAGCACCCTGGTATTCTCCGGAACTATGCGTGGAGGAGATAGGCAAGCTTTAGAGCGAATTATTCTCCGACTCGATGTCACGCATCCGCCTGGTGGCAATCTATCGTGTATATTCCCACCTCGACTTATGAACAACGAATCGACGACTCTCTCATTGAAAGTCCTCGTCACAACCTGAGAAAGAGCATGTGCACTGGATAACACGCTACCCCACGCAGTAGACTAGCGCGACTTACAGCCTCGGTACATCACGTATGCATTGATACAACTTCGGATGGCTGGGCACCGTCAGCACCGAGGTCGTTACATGAGCAGTCGTGAATCACGACTAATCAACACTCCCACATAGTAACGTATTGTTGTTGTGCAAATAACGTTCCATTGTCGCCATATACATAATACTCAATACATACAATCGTCATGGCATCCGCGGAACAAGATGTGCAGCTGCACGACTTCACCAACATCTTTAGCTTGAAAGGCAAAGTCGCAGTCGTGAGCGGCGGATCTCGAGGATTAGGTCTCCATGCAGCATCAGGGTAAATGAATCCATCTGCTTCCATCCATCATTCCAGCGCACCTGCCTAACACAAGACCAGCCTGATGCAAGCTGGCTGCTCCAAGATCTTCATCACCTCCCGTAAAGATTCAGCCTGCGATGCCGCCGTCGCAGCCCTAAATGCGCTCCCCAACAAGTCACCTGGTGCAGCAGCTATTTCCATTCCCGCGGATAGCTCCAAGGTCTCCGAGATCGACCGTCTTGTGCAGGAAGTCAGCAAGCATACCGATCACGTGGACATTCTCTTTGCCAATGCAGGAGCTACCTGGGGCAGCAAGTTTGAAGAGGCGGATGAGAAGAATGGATGGGATAAGGTCATGGACTTGAACGTCAAGGGTGTCTTCTTTACAATCCAGAAGTAAGTCTTTCGTTTCTTTTACTATCTGATAATAGCGCTGATATAGGCGCAGACTCACACCCCTCCTCACCAAAGCTGCAACAGTCCAAGACCCCTCGCGCGTCATCGTAACAGGCAGCGTAGCAGGGATTGGCGTGGGATCTCTCGGTGAGACAGGCTCTTGGTCGTACTCCGCATCCAAGGCCGCAGTCCTGCATCTTGCGCGCAACCTTGCTGTTGAACTAGGGCCCAGACACATTCTTGTCAACGGTATTGCGCCAGGATTCTTCATGAGCAAGATGGCAGGTGTACTGATGGAGAAGGCTGGTGGTGAGGAGGCGTTGGGAAAGACTAACCCGAATGGAAGGGTAGGAAAGCCAGAGGACATCGCAGCTGCAGTTGTATATCTGAGCAGTAGGGCTGGCGGACATGTCAACGGAGACACAATTGTGCTCGATGGCGGCAAGATTCATGGAAGCAACAAGTTGTAGAATTTAGGAAAGACTAGGCCTCGCCCTCAGGAATACGCATCCCATGCATTCCCCTATATCCACTCTTCTCCGGCTTCTTCCACCCCTTCAACACCTCCCCTTTGACTTCCTCCTTGATCTCATAAACCTCTACCCGAATAGGTCGGCACGTACTCTTCATCCCCTCATCATCATCTCCCTCTTTCTTCTCTTTTCCCTCTTTCTTCTCTTTTCCCTCTTCCGCCTGCGTCCAGCCCCACCGGCTTAGGTCACCACCTGGGCATGTACTCAGCGCACATAACAAGTCCAACTCGGCGAAGAAGGTGAGAAAGCTATCCTTGGTCGCAGGACTAGCTTCCATGAAGTAGCGGCCTTGGGAATCTAGACCCGTGACCTGGAATACGTTGAGTACGTCGTGAACATCGAATTCCGTCAGACCATATGGCAAGATGGAACGGACGAGGTTGGAGTGGCAGTGGTAATCGTAGGATGAGGATGTCAGCATGTTAGAAACTGCGTTAATCGTTAGCATAACTTCCGCATACTCTATTTGAACGGAAGAATCTAAAAGAACAAGAAGAGTCCAGCGGTACAGCCCATCCCAAACCAAACCCCAGACCCGCGCATTCAGACATACCATAAGGATCACACCTCGTCCCCAGCAGATCATTACACCGTCCACCCCACTGCGTAACCCCACCCCTCTCATCCCTGCTGCTCTCCCTCCCCTTTCCCGTCCCCTTACCCCCAGAATCCCTAATCTCACACCCATCCTCCACAAGCCCACACATTGGCCTCATAAACGGGAGGCAACTCCACAGCCTATCCCCCTGCACCACATGACTCCCCTGCAACTGCCTCGTCCTAGATGCCCAGAAGCGCTCTCGGGGATCATGCTGGTTCCACACGTTTAAATCGCCGACTTGGGGGCCTTCGGGCGTGGAGAGACGGAATAGTGCGCCTGCGGGTACGGTCCAAGCTTTTCCGCTGCGGGGTGGGATGGTGAAGTCCTGGGTCTTTATTAGGGAGGTGGAGGGGAGGTCGCGGAGAGTAGTGTAGAGGGCGGTTGGGGGGTGGAGGGGGGAGTCGGCGGATGTGGGGAAGTAGGCTGGGGCTGGGGGGATGCTGTTCCGGTCGTTTTCTGCCATGGTGGTTGTCCTTGTTGGTAGAGAGAATGCGCTGGGGGTGGGCAGGGTTATGATCGTGATCTTGTATGGATATGGTGACACGGATCGGAGTTGTAGATAGAGTTTGGGCCGGTATGTCATCCATATGTCGGGCATTACTTCACACCAACCGGTATCCACATCTACGGGTCCATGAGCCGGCGATAAGCGTTGTGTAGGATGCATGTGCCGATGTCGGATACGCCCTGGGCATGGCAAGAACAAGAGCGATTGCTGTGGGAGCTGTGCCGATGAAAACGTCTGGTAGGCAAGCGGACAAGAACACAGAACGCGGATATTGTAAGGTTCTACATGTGTGATTTGAGTACAGCTATTGATACCTTGTTTAGATATTCTCATTCCGTTTAGACAGCACTTTTAAAACTCCAATGCCCCGACCTTTTACATCCCAAATGCTGTATGCGATATGTGTGAACGGAGAAACTGAACTGTGAAGCGTTGATAAGACTTCATGCCGCTACACCCCCGCACTCTTGACGTCCGCCTGACTGCCGTTAACGGCAGCCTCCAGCTTATCCACTATTGTGCTTCCATTTTGTTTGCCGTTTCGTGTAGGACTTGAGTCTGGGCTGGGGATCTCGAGGGTGTTCGATCGCTTGGGGCGGAAAGGAATGGGTGTGGTAGGTCTCGATGATAGGAACTGTGATGTGTTAGCCAAAGTGCTGCTTATTATCATGAGCGAAGACCTACTGAAGAAGCTGCGCTCAACATAGCGATGAGAGACGCTTGAACCACATCCTGGTGGATACCAACACCCCAGACCTTCTGACTGCTCTGCGCGGCTGTGCAACCAATGTAGGTCGCGGCCTTTGCGTCTTTGCTTGTACCAATCGTGTGCTCGTTGTAGTCTACAACGTCCAGGTCGATACCCAGACTCCTCAGTGCATCGGCCAGCGATGACAGCGCACCGGTGCCCGAACCCTGGATCTTGTGTTCCTGGCCGTCAATCTCAATGACACCGTTGAAGATACGGCGCAGGTTGCGGCTGCTGACTGTTCGGCCGTCTTGCGGTGGCAGAGGTGTCTCTGATCGGTCGGCCTTGATTTCGTAATCGACAAGGGAGAAGCGAGGGTTGCGTTTGAGATGGTAGGCTTCTTCGAAGAGGTTCGTGATCTCGGTTGGCAGGAGTTCGCGGCCGAGCATGTCGGTCTCCTTCTGCACAATCTTGGAGAAGGCGATTTGCAGACCACGAGGCAGGTCGAGTTCGAGCTGGCGCTGGATGATCCAGGCGATTCCTCCCTTTCCACTTTGTGAGTTGACGCGGATGATGGCTTCGTACGTGCGGCCGATGTCTTGGGGGTCGAGGGGAAGGTATGGGATCTGCCACCGGCTCTCGTTGTCCGCGCCGTTCTTCTTGCGCATCTGGAATCCCTTCTTGATTGCGTCTTGATGTGAGCCGCTGAAGGCGCATACAACAAGCTGGCCTCCGTATGGTGCGCGCGGATGTATCGGGATCTTGTTGCAGCTCTCCACCATATCGATAATTGACTTCAGATCAGAGAAGTCGATCTTTGGATGTATGCCCTGGGTGTACAGGTTGAGGCCCAGGGTGACGAGGTCAACGTTTCCTGTGCGCTCTCCGTTGCCGAAGAGCGTGCCTTCTACTCGGTCTGCACCCGCCATTTGTGCCAGTTCTGCCGCCGCTACTGCGCATCCTCGGTCGTTGTGTGGGTGTAGAGAGACGCAGATCTTCTCCCTCTCGGAGATGTTCTTGCAGAAGTACTCGATCTGATCGGCGTAGACGTTGGGTGTCGACATTTCCACGGTGGCTGGCAGGTTGAAGATCAGCGGGTTCTCTACACTTGGTTCCCACGCTGCCTTGACAGCCTCGCAGACCTTGATGACGAACTCTGGAGACGAATCTGAGAAAGTCTCGGGCGAGAACTCGTATGCCCACTCTGTGCCGGCTTGCGCAGGGTCGTCCTTGGTTATCGAGCGCGCGTACTTTGTGCATTCGACTGCGAGGGCGATTGTCTCATCGTCGTTCATGTTGAAGACGATCTGCTGGAAACACGGGCTGGTCGCGAGGTACAGATGGAGGATGGCCTTGCGCGCGCCCTTGAGGGAGTCGACGGTGCGGCGGATGAGCTCTTTCCGGCATGGCGAGAGGACCTGGATCCAGACATCGTCAGGTACTATGCCGGGTGTTTGGATTAGGCGTTGCGTGAAGTCGAAGTCGGTTTGCGACGCGGAGGGGAAGGAGACTTCGATTTCCTTGTAGCCGAGCTTGACTAGCATATTGAAGTAGTCCCATTTTTGCGCGCCATCCTGCGGTCCGTGTCAGATGCTGGTTCGCAGCGGCTTCTGGGTGGATTGGTACTTACCATGGGATCTACTAAACTCTGGTTACCATCTCTGAGGTCGGTCGACAGCCAGCGTGGTGGCTTCTCGATGGTCTTGTTAGGCCATGTCCTGTCCGGCAGGTTCAATGGCTTGAAGGGATGGTACTTCTTCCAGGGCTCTTTGAGCATAGGCATCTTGGTGTGATTAATGCAGCAGGTATCTTGAGGCGCTACTTTGAGAACAGTCTCTTGATGGCCCAGCAACAACAATGGAGGGCCAAAAATGTATCTCGGGTGAATTCGAGCAAAGTAAACACACTTGGGATATGGAAAGACGCAGGAGACGTGCGCACAGGCAGACTATTAGTACAGCGCGAGGTATGATTCACAGCAAAAGAAAACTTTGGTCGGTGATACTAAGGCCTTGAGCCGGCCACTGGGAATGGCATATGACGATGCGGGGCGCAGAATTCGCTTGCGCGCGCCCTGTGCATTCAATTGCGGGGTCCGACTTCGGGCTGCCTGAGCTCTACCAAACCGACAAATCATGCTACGCGGATTTGATTGTGTACGGACCTCCGAGGCTTCACGCGGAAACCCAAAGCATGATGACCGAGGTGTGCATAGCTATACGGACGTGTATACAGCCGCAAACATGTTGTTTGTACGCCATTCAGCCTGTGACTGAAAGCGGGTATTCCAGGTACACGATCCCAACATTTTAGCGCCACTAATGCGATGGAGCGGATTCCAACGTTGCCCGCAACAAGTAGACTGTCATTAACCTACACCACAACAGTCTGTGTTCACCGTTGAAGCCCTCCACACAACCGGGAACCTGCCGGTTTGTGGCTAGCTAAACGCTCCCAGCCCAGCTAGAAGATTGGCACCCGCAAACCACAGCACTCCACTTCACTGCCCTTGACCCCAACAGTACGTCCAAAGTACAGACTTCCAAATTCCTGCACAAAGGCGCGATCAGCCTCTGACCAGGTGTCCAGCCCCATTCGCGACAGGTCGTCTCTGTCAACAATCAATGCATCGCTGTCATTATCGTCGTCGTCTCCTCTTTCGCCTTGTGTATCCGCCTCGATGATCTGCGATAGCGTTCGTATGAGCAGCGAAGACTGTCGGTGGAAGTAGGCAATTATCGCTGTCTCCAACGACTGTGAGTAGGCGGAGAGGTCGCCAATCAGCTCGCGGTCCGTCTCCCGCTCGGCTGTCGTGTATGCATCTCTCTCGCCAGCCGAAGCCCACCACATGTAGCCCATATATGCAAGCCTCGACCACGTTGTTGGCTCTACCACCGTGTCGTCGTATGCTTCGTTGAAGTCGTCGTCGGCGCGTTTGGTATCGACCTCGTCGCGTGACAGCAGGGGAGCAGTGTCGTCGTTCTCGTCGTCCGTATACGGCTCGGGCGATGTTTCCGATCTCGTGCGCTGCTTGAAAAGCTCCTTGTGCAAAAGCTTGTAGCGCGCAACATCCCGCTGGCTAGCCTTGATCAAACTGCCATCGCTCGTTCGTATCCGCGGCCAGCGGCGTTCTTGTGGGGGCGCATCGTAACTGGGTGGTAATTCGACGATGATGTCGTAGAGCTGCGTCTTTGTGACAATGATTTCGTCCGTTGTGCACGCCGCCCAGCCCTCTGATGGCTCGAGGCCCGGTGTGTGTCCGCCGTGTTTGGGCTTGCGAAGGTCGTCGAGGAGAGGTATGTCGTGTACGCCGACGGAGAAGAGGGTGGGTAGGCGGAGGAGGTTTTCCGTCTCTGGAGGCAAACGTTCGGTGTCGCGAGGCGATATGCTAGACAGGACAGACAGATTGTAGACTGGCATGTTAGCTGGAAGATAACCAATGACAAGATCCCAGACGTACCAAACTCGCAGGCAGTCCTGACCGGCGGGACGCCCACGAAGAGGATCCGTTTCCTCAGCAGGGCCGCTTGAAGCAGGCGGAAGACCAATGGCCCGAATACGTCGAGGAAGCGTTGTATAGATAAGGCCGGGTGGTAGTCCGGCAGGCTCTCCTCGTCTTTGATGACAGCGCTCACGGTGGAGATGGCGCGCGCTCTGCTGTGACCTTTCGCCTCTCCGGCTTCTGAGGTGGTGTCGCCTTTGCCATGTCTCGAGACCTGCTCCTGCCAGAACTCGTCCAGCGGCGTCACAGCTTCCGGGTCGTCCGCCAGAGCTGCAGCCAATTTCTCCAAGCGGCCGGCCAGTAGCCAGCTCCTTCCTAGCCTCCCAAATCTGCCCTCCTTCTGAATTAGGATACCCACGGAAACGAACGTGGCATTGCGATCCTCTGCGCTCGCGTCGCCCTTTGCGAAGGCGCTGAGCCCGGCATAGCCATCGTGGGTAAAGTAGACGAGGTCATTCTGCACTGAGTGCAGACCTGAGGGTAGCGATTTGTATTCAACGGCGTTATCGAGGGTAATATCCGGTGTCGTTGTGCGCTTCCAGGCGATTGTATAGCTGTGAGTGATCAGCGCATAGCTCCCTGAGGTACTCCGGCTGTCCAGCGTCGCATGACGTACCCAACTTTCTTGTCGAACTTGATGAGGAAGAGCGCTTCAACGCGGGGCGCGTCTTCGCTGTGAGAATCTACATTGGTTGCGCTCGATTCGGTCGAGGCCGACATATTGGATGGGAATTGGGCGAAGGTTGACTGCTGCTGCTGCTGCGCAGGCGGCAGTCGGTGATGCGCCGCGTCCCAGGAACGCTTCGCTTACTCCTGCCCGTCGCCCCTTCTCCAGCCATACTCGTCACTGCACATGGGAAACATCTTTTCGATACCCACCTACCGTCGGTTGATATTCCTTACTCTATCGTACAGTTGCTGCAACTACTATACGCCGTTCAGTATAATTTCTTGTTGCATTCAACGATAGTGCTATCCGCCATTGCATTACTCATTGCGCCGGCACCAACAGCCTCTCTCGATCAACAAGTTGGATGCGCGTTACGGAATTTGTAGCCGGCGACAAGAGCGGCTATATGGCAAGCCTGGCCAACTACAGCGCAAACATGATGTATCTGGTGAGAGTGGCCCCAAATATCGAACGAGCCTGGGCTCAGTCTCTCTGGAAACCTACCAACGAAACATGAGACCCCAAGCAGAAGAACCAGCCCTTCTGCAACATACCACTGAGCGCCCATCTCAGCACACGCACGACTCCATCCAAGTTTGCCGATGCCATGAGATATTGGGAGCATTGCCGTAAGAGCGAGTGCACCGAAGCTACCGCCACGAAGCGCTCTCATCTTGTTCCCACCACCGCCAGTATCAAAGAGCACAGCAGCAGCAGCGATAGCGGCGCCCCCATTAAGACACCAATATACCCGTCGAGCTATTGCATCACAGCGAGCGGCATAATAAGTGGCCGATGATCCTCCACCAAGAGCAAGAAGACAAATGCCGAAGATGTCGAAGCGGCCCCAGAAATGGTGAATGTTGTAGGAATGACTCCGAAGTGTATGGAACGTTGTACTGAGCCCAAAGCACAGGGCTGCTGCGCACAGAGAAATGCCGAAAGCAAATTTGTCGCCAGTGCTCAGATGAAGCTGCGTCGAGATAGCAAGTCTGTGCAACCCAATGCCAGTCCCAACGAACGCGGTACTCCCAAGAAGGTGGGTCCAGATATTCATCGTTTCCATATGAAGGCAACGCCAGAGCCGAAAGGATCGTTTGTACGAATGAGTCGGCATTGGATGTCCCGTGATAATGAAGCCGTTATCTTGGAGCCATGTCGGAATGTCGTCTTTGGTTCCGATTTTAGGCCAATATGGCTGGGCTTCTTTCTTATCGTGGAGTGTTGGGCAGGCGTTGGAAGCCGGTGAAGTGGTATTGGGTGAGCGTACTGCGTCCTTGGCCATATTGGTAGCTTCAATGTGTCGCGACTCCAGCGCTGGAGTTGTTGTCCAAACAGGTATATCATTATCAAGATACAGATGCCATTGGTTGTGGTGTCGAATACAGGCAACAGTTGTGTAAGAAGAATACGTGGAGTCAAACACCTGAACTGCTTGGGCCTGATGTGTCTGAGCAGCGTTTGCACCTACCACTCGTTACTAGATATGTGAAGGGCGTTCGTTCACTCAGTTGAACTCCAACGTATCTCGGTGTGCAGTATCATCGCGGCGCAGCCTCCCAGGGCTACAATTCCTCGCTAATCCAAGGCTTCTGTGATCATATATGTAGGTAAGATGCCACGATCTATGGTGTCGTCTTGGTCAGTATCAGGTATGCTAACAATGCTGTAGCTACCGAGCAGTCCTACGCATGCAGCTATGATGTCACCGGTTTCGTGAACAGCCATTGCGGGGATTCCCTAACGATCCTTCTGCCAACATTTGTACAAACGGAGAAATTGCTTCCCTTTGTCTGGGGAAAGCTTACGCTCTCTCCGCGTGATTGCGTGGTAAAAGGTTGCACGATGGTGGAGATTTCTTTGAGTCAGACGAATACCAGTCGGACTGTATGGCGTTCGACGTGGCTATGCTGATCCTCATTAGAAACATATCCTTGGAGCTCTAAGCGTATAACTTGCGAAGTCGCATGTTTTCCCTTAAAATCTGACGTCCACAATGCGTGGAAGTCTTGTCGAACGTATGCCTTCAAGATGCTTCTGGTGCCAACCTGAGCAGATCGCAAGCCGTGCTCACTAATCAACAATCACTGTTCAAAAGGCCCTGCTGAACAAGGCCTCATAGTGATCATAGTATCACAGAGATGCCCATGGGCAGTTCAAAAGTCGTCAGATATGGAGTCTTGCCCGTATGGCGACTGCGAATTACGGATGTGTGACAATTGCCGTTGATGGTGCGTGCGTGAGTTGCGCGGGCAGTGGATACAAAATGTGCAGTCGGCCTTTTTCTCGGCAAGACCCACCAGACTGGATAATCACGAAGCCATCAAACTGCAATGAACTCCATTCAGACACCTATGCATAGAAATTGCGTCGAATTCAATGCATGGAGTCAGCGTTTGCATAAGGTCTGACGTCATGGCTAACGTACCTTCCACGCACAGAGTGCACTGGCCATGCCGCTGCATCCGCCGACCACTCGAGGCATCCAAAGCTGGTTGCTTCATCACTTATAGCACATTGGCCTATCCGCCAATAAGGAGCAGACCGCACCTTTAGCTTGTACTTTGATCCAAGCTCTCGCACTCCCGGTTGTTAGGAATGTCATCGTCTTCTCTCAGAGATATCGCGCCGCGTCCACAAGACTTGGCTGCTGCCGCCGCTGTTAGTAGAGCAACTCCTACCAGTCGCAGGCCGTCACGCGTGACAGTCGCATGTCTGCCCTGCCGTGGCCGACGCACCAAGGTCTTTCACCGAATTCTTTGCTAGTAACGACAGCAATTCCGTGAAGTCGAAGCTGACACACGACAGTGTGACGGTGGCAGACCGACATGTCGCTCTTGCTCGGAGAGAAATTCACAATGCGGATACGACCCACCCCTCATTCAGGCGCAAAAAAGAAAGATTGAAGAACTGGAGGACGATAAAAGTTCGATGTATGAAGTTTTGTGGTTCCTACAGACGGCTTCACCTGACAAAGCCACGGCCTTGCTGCAGCACCTGCGAGCGACCCAGGGTGACGATCTGGGAGTCATCTTCAAGAACTTCGAAATGGGCCGTCGCAGTTCTTCCGAGTCTGAGCCTGCATCTGAGACCAAAGTTGGTAAGAACGATTCACCACCGACATTTACGGCTTCTCCCTCATCGACAATGCTTTCCGTCCCTGAGATAATGGATCATCCCCGATTTTCTACTGTTCGAAAGGGCCAGACCGAAGTCACGGGCATCACTCTGCTTGCTCCAAACCACGAAAACGCAAGTGTTTCCAACGTCCACGGCCCATTAGAGATGTTCTTTAACTGTGTGGGAGCACTCTTTTACATTATGAATAGGAACGACGTCCAAGCATGCATCGAAGCAATCAAAGCCTCCGGAAACGAGAACATGCCACTCGGACACATGTTCAGCAACGGAAGTACAATCGAACTTCGTACTTATGCCGCAGAAATTGCGGGTATGGCCTCTATCGGTGTTATACATTCACAGCTAGCCGACCCCACAAAGGCACCGCCTCCCGAGCTTGCCGATTACTTCTACGCAGTCGCCAAACATGGCCTGGACTCTGCGATTCTTCACGATCCGCTTCGAGCCATGAATGTTTGCGCGCTGCTTGGCATGTATAACATCGTCGTCAAGGCGACAGTTGCTCTGGCTTACATTGGTACGAGTCACACTTGGGTATACCCACGAGAAATACGCCACTAATGACTTTCAGAACTTGGTCTGAGCCTTCCTCGCAACCGCAAAATATCTCTCGAAACATGTCCGCCAGACTGGTCCCCAAGCTATTACGACGACATTCGTCGCACGCATATGACTCTTGTCCACTTGCAATGGTCAGTTTGGCATGCCTTTAGTTATGTGTGATATATCGCTGACTACTCCGATAGCTGGCTGAGCGCATCTCTTGACTACAACTCTGATTCGTTAACCTTCGACGTCCACTCATCTCTCAATGGACTAGACGCGCCGCCCCAGGACATGATTCGACGCGAATGCGTCAAAGTTTCCATCATCAAGGCAAGCTTACTTCACCGTCTACCAAGCAAGGCGCCTGTACCGGAAAATGTCACGCTAGAGTTTCGCGCGCAATTATCGAGATTCCATGCGCAACTCCCCGACTGGATGTCAGTTGCTGCGCTGTTACGCGGCGACAGCAGCCCGCTGATGGCCACATTCCGCCCAGTAATATTCTATGTTCATCTCTTTTACCTTTCGGCTATGATGCTGCTTGCTCGGCGGCTAATAATTGCATACATCCCGCTCGATGCAGTTGGCATCGTAGTTCTTCCACCAGAAGCACGAAGGGCTATCGAGGAAGGATACCAAGCTGCGGAAACAAACGCGTCTGTCATGAGTCTAATGCTACAGGAAGGGAAGGTAGTACAAGTTTGCTGGCTCTGCATGTGAGTCAGGCGTATGCCACGGTGGCGAAGGATGCTAACCCAGAATTCCAGTTACACAGCCTACACGGCGGGAGTCATGATCGCTTACCAGGCATCGCAGAGGGCTCTGAACAACGAGCCATACACTGACGACGTGAAACTGCTGGAAAAATGCATTAGTGTTCTCGAGTACTGTGCGATCAAAGACACGCTTGCTGGCAGGTTTCGTAACATTCTTGCAGCTCACATGGGGAAGCTGCAAGATTACAGATCTCAGACAAGGGATGGTGAAGAGTTCGCGACGCCCCCGACTTCTCTGGCGAGTGACAGCCTCTTCTTCTTTGATCGTGGTTCATCTGAGCTTCACGCAGCAGTTTTTGACTTACTTCGCCTCATACATCGCCCATTCAGTGGCCTGAAAGACGTCGCGACAAAGAGTACTCTCTCGAATCGCGCCGAGACAACTATGGGCACCCACCTTGAGTGGGAGTACGAGCTCAAAAACAGAGACGATCCAGAAGTACCACCGAACGTAGATGAGGGTGCATGTGTGACTGATGTCAGATGCGAGCCAACGCAGTCTCAGTGTTCGCCCTTTGACCCAATTTGCGCTTCGCAAGAGCTGTCGGCCCCGCCTTCGGAGGAAGCCTGGACAAAATGGACTCCAGCAACGTGGCAAAGTTCCTTTCACACATCACCAAAATGAGTTCGAAACCTCGTTGGCCCTTCTACGAGCACGATGATACGGTTCACACGAGATGTTACAGACGTTGGCTTTCAAGGCCACACCATGGTACGCGTTCTAGGAGTAAGATTCGGAACCTTGCCAGCTCTCACGTAGCCTGGCTCCTTCCGCGTCCGAAAGATGACGGCGATAGAACTTGACATGGTGTCTTTGTTATGGAAGGGTGCTTCCGGTACTTCCGGTACCACAATATAATCCATGGGACGAACCTATCCAGAGCTAGAGGAATCATACACTGCTCATTTCCCTTTTATACCCATCGATCTTGATATTCCATAACTACAAAAGTCTGTATACAATGGGAAGCGCGACACGGGCCTAATGGTCAGCAACGTTGAATCTTGCACAACCTATCCTGCAGCTTTACATACGTCATAACCCCGCTTCACAATATAGCAACTGCTCGACGCATTTGAACTGCGCTGCCAAACCATTCCATCTTCTCATCAACATAATCTTTAACTCTGTACCTTGCCATGACACATCCTCCACCTACTCATATGGCGACGAAAGATCTTTTTAGGCTGAATGACCGGACTATCATAGGTACGGCTTACCAATCGACGTATGGACTGGAGCTGACACAGTCTTCTAGTTTCCGGAGGTGCCGGTGCAGTAGGTACGGCCGTAGGTGTAGCGATTCTAGAGAGTGGCGCAGATGTCGTATTTGTCGATGTCTCCGACCCCACTCCCGAAAGCTGGGGTACACAATGCCTGCAATCTTCCAAATTTGATCTCCTGTATAACTGTGACCAGATCGGATTCAGGAAGTTGCGCGAGGTAATCACACCCATGCGCTATTCCAACGCCTCGACGTCCAGGATGAACCCAGCATCACATCAGCCTTCAACACTATCCGTGCTAAGCTTCGTCATCCGATCCGGGGGCTCGTCTCCTGCGCCGCCATCTCCGGCGAAAGCGATGCTTGTTCGTACCCCATCGACACGTTTCGTACAATCCTCGATATTAATATCTCCGGCACCTTCCTCATCGCCCGTGCCGTAGCGAACGAATTGCACAACGCCAATCAATCGGGCAGTATCGTCCTGTTCGCCTCGATTTCAGGTCACATTTCTAACCATGGAATCAACACTGCCGCGTACAATGCTTCGAAAGCGGCAGTGCATCAACTTGCTCGATCGCTTGCCGCGGAATGGGGTCACCCACAGAACACTTTTCCCGGTAGCACGGTCACGGCAACAAACCCAAATCCCAGCCAAGAGCCACGAAAAGCTTATCCGCCGATCCGAGTGAATACCATCAGCCCCGGTCACATTGACACGCCTCTGAGCGCGGAAGCGCGGAAGAGGGGGTTGACGGACGAGTGGGCGAAACAGAATATGCTGGGGCGAATTTCGGTGCCCGAAGAGTTTCGAGCGCCGGTGCTGTTCTTGCTGAGTGAGGGAAGCAGTTATGTCACTGGTTCTGTAAGCTGATATTCTTTGACTAGTATCAAAAAAGACGGGATTGCGAGGCTAACATGTCACGTGTAGGACTTGAGGGTCGATGCAGGGCACTGCGCGTGGTAGAATTCGACGGAAGAGATGTACTCGTTGATTCATGCGTCCGAAAGAGATAAAGGTATATGTATATACAAGAAGAATTGTAGAAGATAACCGCCAAATGTGGGCCATCAACTGCCCCAGCACCAACGCCTCGCTCATTCGTAATCGCCCTTTTATACAATGCAATGTCTTTCCCTACCACCAACTCCAGGTTCCTCATCATGCGTCAGAGACAATAATCTTCTCGGACCCTCTACTCGTTGATTCTGTGCTGCCAGACTTCCTGCTCCGCTCTCGCAGAGTAAGTGCTAGCACCAAGAATAGCCCTCATCTGATCAACTCCCGTGAAGAGGATTTGCCTAGCAACGAACCAACGGATACCCTCAGTGCAAGGGGGGCTTGTCAAGCTACCCTGGTACGTCCAGAACTCGTTGAAGTACAGGACGCTCTCAAGCAGAGGAGCAAAGTCCATAGTAGTAGGCTCCTCAACTCCCATCTCGGTGTAACCAATCATGGCGGGTAGTTGCTCGAAGAAAGTCGAGTTGGAGTTACCAGGGTCGAGGCGGATAGCCATGACGGCGGCTTCGTGACCCTCAGCGTCGACGTGGACGAGATGGAGCTCGGCTTTGCTGCGGTCGCCACCGACGGAATGGTCGGCTGGAGCGTGGATGTGCCAGCCCTTGAGGTAAACGGTCTCGTTGTCGTAGGTGAAGCTTGGGTGGCTGGTCCAGTCAATGTCTTCCTCTGCTGCCTTCTCGTCGTGTGCAACGGTGAATGCGGGACCGTAACCCCAGTTGTAGAAGTTGCCGGAAATGCTGCCGTTGTACTTGAAGGTCGGCACGTGGTTCAAAGCCAGTCCGTTGCCTAGTGAGAGTGCAATGGGAGACTGCTGAGTTCCAGTCTGGCAGAGCTCGTAGTCGGGGTTGATCTTTCCCCAGTTGAAAGATGCTTCGTAGGCCCAGTCGTTCTGGGTTACGTTGGTGCCTGGAGGCACTTGTTGTCTTGTAGTGAGGTGTACATTGCGTTTGGCGTTGGTGTGTTGGGGACAGCTGAGTGCTGTGGGTGCTAGAGTGGCGGCGGCGAGGAAGATGGATTGGAACAACATGGTGACGGTGCTGGTCTTTGTGTGATATGAGTGTCGGATGACTTGGTAGAAAGACTGAATTGGCTGCTGTGATGAGAAACTTGCTCGTCCTGCGAGGATATCTTATATATAGTCCAGCGGCCGGATTATGGAATGTTCCTCCGCCTTCACAACGAATACCCTAGTCCTTCAAGCAAAGGTCTCAGCCATGTCCTTCAATTCCGCCAAGCAGTCTTCACACATGCCCTTTTCGTGCGCCATGGAAGGTCTCCCATCGCCAAGTGCCCTATCTTTTCACTACCGTTGCGCAGCCTCTTTGCTTGCGCAGTCAGTACCATTAGGAAATGCACTTGGTTTCCTTGGGAGACGGCACGCGCTTGTATGTTGGAAACCAAACATCCAGCCCATTCCTCGTAGCAGTTCGGACGCCAAGCATGAACCCTGTTTTCGACAAGAAACGCTTGTTGACCAAAGGCGATAGCGCAGGGGCGAGATCGCTCTTTACTATCTCGAGTTAACCCGGCGATCTTGGCGGGAAACGGTCGCGTGGCTTCTACCCAATGCATTGATACTGGGGATTCCGACAAGATGAGACTTGGCGTGGAGAACCATGACTACCGTATACTGTAATAAGCTCAGCGGACAAGAACGGCCGGGAGAGGTCGAGTTGCTTAAATGATGACACGCAGCACGGATGTAGCAGTCGGCCCGTCGCGGGAACGTCAAAGCAAAACCTTTCCGCTGCTTAAGAGCTCTTGACGCGTGGCATAAGCATGATGCGACGACCAGGAAGCCACAGACCCCAAAGTCGAACATAACGTTCGATTGTGTAGATCAAAGAACGTGGGAGTAGTTCCTGCAGGTCCCACAGATCCGCCTAAATACCCAGACCTAGACCCTTCCATTACGTTGTACAACATCACCCATCGTTAGCTTGCACGCAGATCGATACCGCCGTGCAGCGCCGCCGCTACTCATCGAAGGCGTGCCACAATCAGGGAAACACGACCGCCAAAGCGGCGCATTGCTGGATCTGTGAAAATCTCCGCTGTCGACCCGGATACGTCGACGAAACAGAAGCGGGCCGACGAAAGCTCTCTGTTCAGTCATCAAGCTGTTTCTGCTACAGCCTTGGCGCGTATAGTGTCCAAACTTGCCAAGGGAGCGAGCTGCTTGGATTCAGTACGTACTAGACATGAGGCGGGACGCGCAGTCGAGAGAAATGACTTGATGCATGACGGCACGATGCTGAGTATATCGAGAGGAGACCGGGTGGTGTGAGAACATGGCATCCGGCTCCTCCGCATCGACGACAATGCCTAACTTTAACAACCAATCCATGAAACAAGTGAACACCCACATAACATGGATGACCTAGGAGTCTAAATTGCCTTAGGGTTGTGTCACGTTTTGTTTGCGAACTAACGTGGACCGCAGCACAATTACTCGGTTTCTTCGTTGTACGAGGTGAACGAATCCATTCCTAGCAATCAGTATCCAGGCCACACTACCTCGTCGCATTCGGGATGCTTGAAGGCACCATTGCTCATCTCGTACTCGTACTCTAGATCAGGTTGAAACTCCCAATAAAGGCTCTCAGCATCGGCCCCCATTTTGTATGTATATGCCGCTGCATCGTCGTCGACGTAAACCTTCGGGACGCCGTTGGCCGCTGCCGCTTCTATCTTCAACTGGACATCGCAAGAGCGTTCCATGAGGGTGTACAAGAAGGCGGCTTCGTCGACAGTACCTCCTACCGTCTGTGTGGTGTTAGCTGAATGCCGGTCGTGGTATCGCGCACTGAGGGACGTACCAAGAGGCCGTGGTTTCGTAGCACCAGGCCTTTTCCCTTTGGTCCCAATGCCGCTGCCAGCCTCTTGCCTTCTGCCTCATCGAGGACAACGCCGCCAAAGTCATCATAGACGGCTTGCGCATCGCCGTAGAAGTAGCATACGTCTTGATTCAGCATCTCCAATGGCTTCGCGAAGGCGCTCCACGCTTTGCCTGCCTTTCCATGGCAATGGCATGCCGCGTTGACGTCTGGCCGCGCCTTGTGTATTGCCGAGTGTATAAGGAAGCCAGCTGCGTTCGCAGGTCTGCTCTGATTTCCTCCGACGACTTTGCCATCGTAATCAACAAGGACCATATCGGACGCCTTCAGGAGACCGAAGTGCTTTCCGAGCGGGTTTGTCCAGAAGTTGTGCGGGTGCTCTGGATCTCTCACCGAGATGTGACCCGACATGCCTTCTGTCAGGCCGTGCCGTGCGAAGACGCGAAAAGCACCCGCCATGTGTGATAGTATCCATGCGCGTTGCTTATCGTACGAGGAGAAGAGAGGGATGCCGGGGAGGCAGACGCCCTGCGAGATGGCTTGCAACGGCGTCAACTCCTTGGTCGCGTCATCTTTGGATCGTGGGACGAGCTGCTTGGGTTGCGCGACTGGCGCTGGCTCGACCTGGATAGCGGAGGGTGCCATGTTGGAATGCGATGGGATGGGATGGGATGGGATCTAGTTGTGGGTAAGTAGGCCGTGTAAGTTGCAATTGATCAAAGATGGGCTTGGGTTAAAGCTCTTGAATGCGCCGTTGTTATACTTCAGACGACCGCGATCAGGCCGATGTTATCGCCTCAAAGGGCGCGTGAGGTGGAGAAAGGTGCGATAACGGTCCAGTCGAGCTCAAGATGCGCTGCGGGGTGCCGCCCTAGTCGCCGGCCATGCTATCACCGGCCCTTTCTCCACGCCGCTGCCACATCAACATCTCTCCAACCAACTGAGCATACGACGAAGAAAATGAACCGAACCCTGCAGCCGATAACATGAAGAGGATGGGTAAGTACAGATTTCGGTATTGATGTAGGCGTCTAGGTCTGTGACCTTTCCGATAGTAGTTAGTCTTCTTACGTTCTTTTGTACGAAGTAGTTAGTGGCTCAGCAGGCAACGCGTTTCTTCTACTGGACAGTTTGAGCCCTTTGTTCATGCTGCCATTTGAACAACTACCTGACGACGGACAGCCCCGGCGGCAGTCGGGACTCTGTTTGCCAATATGAGAAAGATTCTAGAGCTTGCTCATATCACAAGCAGCTCACCATGTTTTGTCGCTTCGCTTCCTCTCGTTGGAAATTAGTGGCCTCAGGATCACGAACAAGGATTAGACGTCGTCTATCTTCAGCTCTCGCCCCTCGTACCAGCACCTGAAGTACAGCTCACTATATCATATAAATGGCAGCGTTGGGGCCAATATCGGATAACATCCTCCAATACATCTTTCTTCGACCGGACGCAGATTTCATCCAGACAGATGAAGGCGGGTCGTTCGAAAGGAATTAGTAGGAGGAAGATAGTTCTGCTTGAGGATGTTGTCAATTTGGAACGTCGATAAAATACCGAGAAGAAGTCCTTACATACGCATACGCCTAGGCGTACATCGACGTTGTCCCGGGACTTGGTAGAAAAAAGCATGTTACTTCGTTTTCGTTCTCTCGCAGCCAAGATGAGACGCGGAGCATCTCGTCAGCCCATCGAAGTCTCGGTGGCATTACAACCGAACGGTTCGCCCCACCAAGGCGCAGCCGCAAGGTAGGTCCTCCCAAATCACGATAGCGGGGTGCATCTTCGTCGCGAGAGCAAGTAATTATCCCGCCGGCCCAGCCAACATGGTGCTGTGCCTTGCTGTATACGTCCGACATCCCACGTCTTGGAGTAATTTCTGCAAGACATACATAAACCCTCCCGGCCGACACGATGGCCGAGAGCGCTCGAGATGCGATATTTAAAGAGGGCAATTCTGCCTTCCTTGATCAAATCACCCACCCCACGTTATTCATTCCCAGCATTCAAACTTCAAGTATCATTCAGGATGTCTTCAGGCAAGACCGTCACCCTTAGCTCTGGCTACAAGATCCCGTATGTTGTTCCAGCCTGTGCTTATGATGATTCGTTGTTCTGACGTCGCTTTAGTCAATTGGGATACGGTACATGGCAAGCCGCTCCAGGTGAGGTCGGCAACGGTGTCTACGAGGCACTAAAGATCGGATACCGTCACTTGGTAAGTCTCCGAGACCCTGAAGACCCTGGAACCGTTTACTCCATCTTTTGGATGACAATTGTTTTCCGTTTCAACGGCTAACTCGATCAAATTAGGATCTTGCAAAGATGTATGTCCACCATCACAACTCACACTCACAATCCCGTTTTCACCCATCTCACTTCGGGCTTGCTCCCACCTGACGTGGAACAATTTTTCGTCAGCGTTGGTGGAAGTCCAACTGCAATGCCCCTCAGTGGAGATGGAAGCTTAGGAAGCTATGACCATACCCCACTAGCATTCCCGAGAACACAAGCTGACGAGATATTCCACCAATCACAGCTACGAAAACCAGAAGGAAGTTGCGCAGGGCATCAAGCGCGCATACAAGGACATCCCAGGTCTGAAGCGTGAGGACATCTTCATCACGGGAAAACTGTGGAACTCTCAGCATGATCCTGCCACTGTAGAGGCAGCTCTCGATGACACACTCGCTGAACTTGAGCTGGAGTATCTCGACCTGTACCTCATCCACTGGCCTGTCAACTTCGGGCCTGGAAAGGACCCTCACTCAGATCTCTTTCCCATGAGTTCTGACCCCAATGAGGTTAACATCGACAACTCCGTCCCTAACAGCGAGACATGGAAGGCCGTGAACAAGCTGCCAAAGAGCAAAGTACGCTCGGTTGGCGTCTCCAACTTCACATACCAGACCTTGAAGGCTTTGGTTGAGAAGACTGGCCTCGTGCCCGCCGTCAACCAAATCGAGCGTCACCCCATCCTCCCCAGCAAGGAGCTCGTCGCTTACGCCAAGGAGAAGAACATCCACATTACCGCGTACTCAGCCTTCGGCAACAACTTCTTCGATATCCCACTGCTCATCCACCGCCCCGAGATCAAAGCAATTGCAGAGAAGAAGGGCGCCACACCAGCACAGGTCATTCTTGCCTGGTCTCAAGTCGGCGGTCACTCTGTCATTCCCAAGTCTGTCACTCCGTCGCGCATTGCTGAAAACTTCAAGGAAATTGAGCTGGATGACGAGGACATCAAGGCTATCACTAAGTTCTCGGACGAGCACCAGGGAAGGAGAAGGTACAATGTTCCTTACACGGCGAACAAGCCTAGATGGAGCATCAACATCTTCGATGAGCCAGAGGAGCAGGAGGCGCCCAACAAGGTCGTGTTGTAGATAGATCGAGCCTGCAGATAGTCGCAATATTACCAATGTTAACTTGACCTCCTCGAACCACGACGCGTCCAGGGGAGCCTGGGTTCTTGAAAGTGACTTGCTGCGTCAAGCCAGATCATAAGCTTGCTCGGTAAGGATATGAGTATGATAACGCCAATTCGTTAGAAGCTCTTGGGTAAGGAGGTTGTTGCGGGTGCGACGCGTAGATTTGGAAGACTGAGCCGGTACGAACCGCCTCGCGGCGAGCTAATACCTTCTCGGTTAGGTCAAAACACGTATCTGCGTCATCCACGCCGCGTCGCGTCACTCCGCTGCCAACAGCTTCAATGAGGCTATATCCTATCTGTATTTTGTCACACAAGATACCTCTTATGTCTTTCTCGCCCAAGCCTTGCAGTCATCTTTAAATCCATTATGCTGTTCAGCGCTCTTCACGACACCAACAACGCCAACAACGTATCTTCATCAGGGACTCTGGCTCGTCTGGTATCTTGAGGAAGAAGCATTAATTCTGGCATTATTGAACGAGCAGAAGGAGCGCAGCCACATCCGTGGTCAGTCTACATAGTCGCTTCATGTGCCACTGGAACCTCGACACCTACCACACCGCTTGGCTGAACGCCAACAGGACCTCTACATGCCATCGTTGATCTGCACTCCACCAGGTAAGCTCTTCAACCCTGCTCAGTACGTTAGCATAGTGCGGTGGGTGTTCAGTGTCGCGCTTACATGTCTCAGATCCGTCGACATCCTCAACCACCGTTTGCGGAATACTGCACTTCATCGCGTCTTCGTCGCTCTGCCTGTCCAACTCGCTACATTCATCGTTACTGCACCGTGCGTCCAGCGCTCGCTGCAGCGCATCGCCCTTCCAACCAAACATATAATCACCATGATTACCATGGCCGGTCCTACAACTAGTCGTTAGCATGATCGTGGTCCTTTGCACGTTGCAACGGCAAGAGGGGATCTCACGCATCGCCCATACTGAACACAAAAGGCTGCGTCGCCTCCTCGCCCCACATCTCAGGGGTATTGAATGGGGTCGTGTCGAACATGACCTCATACATGATTTGCGGAAGCTGCACGGGATAGCCCTCTGGACACTTGCCCCTCTGCTGCTCGGGTGTATACGGAAATGTTGCCATGGGCGGAAAATATGGCTCATACGGGATCTCTGCATATGCGACGTGGCTCTGGTGATCCGGTGAGTCCAAATTGACGCCGTCCCAGCATGTAGGGAAGGTGACTTGGGTACGAATACCACCTTCGCACATGCGGTTGGGGAGGAATGTCGTATCTTCCCCTGTACATGGAGCGCCACCAAAGGGCTGTGAGTCCTTGTAAATGCAGCGATGGCAGATGCCGCGGGATTCGCCAGTCGTATTGCGAAGAATTGGATTGCCAGCGAGCATACGGAAACCCTAATGAGAAGTCAGCAACGCAATCGTTTTGAAGGAAAGCGAGAGCTATCTCGCCCTCAAGAGTGGGAGACGAACGGGTCTGAACGCAGTCACGTTGCTGAAGCCATCATACGGAGGTATGTAGTACACCGTCATACCGCCTCTCTGGTTTAGCCCAAGATTGGGGAACTGCTGGACACGTTTGTAAGTGCCATTTTGAGGTGCGCGGTAGTACAACGCTGCAGTCCAGTAGTTGCTATGTTCCGTCAGCTATGATTCCGCTATGGCTAGGCGCCTCATGGCATACCTGAAGTCTTCGCTGAAAGTACACGTTGTACAAGTACTCTTCTCGACCAGATCGTACTCCATAGGCTTCATGTCAGCCTGAAAGCTGTTTCCTCCAACGATTTGGTGGGTATGTGGACTTCCAATGACTCCAGGGTTGACCAAGGGGTCCAGTCGCTCGACGGTGAGTTGAGAACATGCGAAGCGCATCATCGCGGCGCCGCGACTGACATTCTGAGCTAGCGCTGCGTTGATGAGCGTGGCCGCTACGAGGATCAAGTTCTTCATGATGATTAGACGGCGGAGCAGATATCTTTTGCAGACCAGTCAACAGGACGACTGTCGTTCAGACCAGATGAATATCTATGGAGAGACCTGTGCAGTCATCTATGTGGGGCGCACAAGTGCCGGGACCCAAGCAGTCTCGTCCAAGACAACTCCCTTCTAAAGGTTCCAGTACAGTGGATTCTGGGACGTTGGGCCATTCGAGGGAGTGGTGTACAGTGCACTCGCATATTGAGCGACCAGGGTCTACCCAATCATGCATCTACCGCACGATAACATCACAGGCTTCTGATAGTCCAAATAGTGACGAGGCACTCAACTACAGTCAATGTTGTATTCATCTCCTACTGGCACAGAGCAACATTCCGTTCCATTGGTTTGGACAAGCTGACACTGATTTGGGTTACCATTATGTCGAGCAATACAGGATCTTGACGAAATGGCAGGCGAGACATCAATTAAGGATGTCAAAAACGCTCAACTTGTTCATCCGATCCACAAAAGGCTCTTTCCAATGACGAGTGTCGTCTTCATAAGGTCGAAACCGCTGAACCTCAATCCGCGGGATCGTCCCTCCTTCTTCAACCCAGAGCCACCTCCGATACTCCCTGAGCTCCTGGGGCCAAAAATCGCAAGGGTCCATGTCCGCATTCCAGTCATTAGGAGGGTACCAACGCGGGTCTTCAATCTCAAAGAAGACTTCTGTCACCTTGAAAATTATCTTCCCATGCTCGTCCTTGCCAGCGGGTATCTTGGTCTCGCGGTACTTGGTCGCGCCCGCGGGGACTTCGCGCCTGATGACCTTCCCCCATGGCTCGTCGTAGACATCTGGCTCTCCAACCGGATGTGTCCAATCCTGGTTCTGATAACCTGGATGGCAAGGGTATCGGCCATGGGCATCGATGGTATCCAGCTCATAATAGATCGGCTCCAGGTGCCACTTCCTGCGGCGAGCATCAGGAACTAGAGGGCCTTCAACGAACGTGGCGATGGAGCGTATGCGCAGCCAGTCCCACTCCGATCTGTCCTCTACTAGACGCTCAAAGCGGAAGATGACCCCGGCATAGCTAGCGCGATCCTCGATCTCCAGATCCACAGTACCGAAGCGAACTTTGATGATCCTGGGTTCGTCAGTCTCCTCGGGAATGAGTTTGGAGGACTCAGGTTTGGCGCGGAAACACTCAGACTTAGAGTTCCCATGATCGTGGTACCGGGCGCAGAAATCTTGGAGATTTCCCTCGCCCCGTCTGAACCTCTGGACAATGTCGCAAGGCCCGGCCATCATTAAGAGAATGGTGTGGAAGCACCAGTCTATCACGAAATCCCTGTTCAGATGACGCTTTTGCTTTTCCGCTTTAACTCGTAACAGCTCAACTTGGTCAAACAATGACTCGAGCACTACCATACGGATCTTATCATTGGCCTTGGTGTGCTCCCAAAGTAAGTTGACGTCGTCAATTCTGAAGCTCATGAACTGGATAGTGTTGTCGCAATCCTGCATGGTAACTTTCCCCTCTTCATGCTCTTTGACAAGCTCGATTTCTTGCTTGAAAGACAAGACAATTTCGTCAAGGATCATATCGCAGACCTCCGTAGTCCCCATCGCTTGGGAGAGCCGGTATGTCTCGAACAAATCGCTCATCGCGATGGATGGTGTGCCGTTATCGCGGTGAATGAAGCTTGTGTCATCGTAGGGCTCCAGGCGGTATATGCGTCTCGGGAAAGTGTGACGAGGACCTAGAAAAACCGAAGTGTACCACCGATCGAAATTATCGAGAGAGTACTCAAGAAAGTGTTGGTCGTTGATCGGCAGCCGGTCCATGACCTCTTGCGTTACCCAGCGATTGACGCCACCATCTTGCCCAGGCGGAAATACCACAAGCTGAACAGCCTCGCCGTCGTAGAGCAATGGGTGAATGATAGGTTCTTTGCCCAGAACCGGAGACGCTTCGCTTGTATCTGGAAGGAAGTTCTTCAGCTCTGCGTACAAGGGGATGTCATGCTCGGCAAGCCCGAGGGGGCTCGTGGCGAAGTAAACTCCCGTGAGCTCAAAGACTGCCTTGTTGGCTGACGCGAAGCGCTTACGTACGCCTTCTGCACTGACATTGCCCAGCTCTGCCATCTTGTCCCAAGCGACTGGCTCCTGTTGCCATGGCCTACGTAGCTCATAGGCCTTTTCGCATCTTTTGGAAACTTTGGAATCGATGACGACTTTACTCCAATCGACTGGACAACTGGATTGGTCGTGATAGGGGGGCGTTGGCGCTGGGAAATCGTAGTCCCATGGTGTAATTGCTGGGCGAGGTGGTGGATTGAAGACTGTGTTTGTCAGCTGGACACGCTTATGGCAAGGACGAGTGAGTTTTATACCGGTCGCTCTAGCGCGCAGTTGTTCCGTAACCACTGCGGCGCCGTCTTCTTCCTCTACACCATCCTCCTCTTCCTCGAAAGCATAAGACTCTTCCTCCGAAGCAGAAGGCTCTTCCTCTGAAGCAGTGTCGTCTTCCGTCTCCATGATGTACACGTCTTCAGTACCTGACACAGCGCTGTTGTGAACCTTGGTCTTCGCAGCCCTCAACTCTGTCGACATTGTCATCGAGCTTTGTGTAGGCCTATCGTTCGTTGCGACATGCACTGCGCCAGTAGCTGATACACTACTAGAGGCTATAGTGCGACTCGTGATGCTTGCGGCAGGACCTGGAGCTACATTGCGCTTCGCATGGGTGGTCTTCAGACGCTTTGCCGGCGTCTTCTGGACGTCTGTGTGCCCATTCGGAAGGAGATGGTCGCTGGTAGGAGCTGTCAAGGATGGATCGCTGCGCTGCGCCATATCAGAGCCGCCCTTGGAGATCGGGTTCGATTCTTCGGCCTTGCGCTTCTTGCTAGGTGACGGCGCCATTACTGAAGCGGGATTCATAGGCGCTGTCGATCGGGCTTGAAGCGCAGTGGGGATGGTAGGCATGTTGATGTCAACGTTGCCGGAAGTCAATAAAGTATTCCCGCGAGTGTGATACGCGGTATGCAAGGCAAAGTGGAATCAGGTGCGGTATAGGGAGATGGACCCGTCATTTATATGCGGAAGGGGAGTGCCCGTTATCCAGGCCCCAGCGAAGAGCACATGGTAGCTGCACTGACCGCGTCAGCAGTCTTCTGGGGCAAACTGGTGGCATCTGCCCGATATAGGAGTGAAAGCATTTGTGAATAGTGGTGAATGGTAAGATTGACATGTGATGGATGATATAGCGCAATATCAGACGAGCGATGGGGAGCGGTGCATAGTGACAAGCAAATGAATGCGTGTATTCGCCCATACATATCGAGCTGCTAATCTATACCAAACACATGCAGCAACAAACTACTGTAGCATGCCTTCCAAACTCTCTCCCAAAATCTCCTCCATACCATTCTTCCACCTCTGGCACTCCCTCTCGACCATCTCATCGTCGTCTTCCATAAGCTCACTGATGAACGGCAGCATCTCAGGAAGTAGACCCAGCCACTCTTCTCCTAATCTCCTCGTCAAGCTCTGCTCACACAGCACTGTCGCTAACCTAGTGTTCCTGTCGTCGCTCCTCATGTTCTTCAGCAATATGCTGTTCATTTCGCGATGGTTCTCCATGGATGATGCAGATGCAACAGCAAGTTCGGTGATGGTAGGAATGACGTTGTTGGTGTTGTCCTCTGGTGTAGATGTCGATGCAGATGGTAGGCTAAGCAAGGACAGCAGGGGTGGCATAATGGTGCCAAAGTGAGATGGCGCTTGCCAGAAGCCGTCTTGATCGTGTTGGAATGTCTTCTGGAGAGCGTCAAGCACAGCCCTGCGTGTGGTAACATCAGAGTCTTCTTTAGCAAGTTCAGTCAGCAGCTTCGCGGCATGCTCGATGATGTAGCTCGAATAGCTTGTTACAAGAGACTAGTTGTGTGTTAGTGACATTTTGATGGGGAATGACAGAGCAAGACGTACCTTGAACTTGTCGAAGAAGGCGCCGAGGAACTTGTAGAAAGTGACGGCCTGTTGAGGCTTGCTCGATAGTGGGCCCTCCTGGTCCACAAGCTGAACGAAGAATGGTCGGAATGTAGCATCGCTGAGCTTCAGTACCATAGAGATGACAGAGTCAATAAGCGTAAGCTCCAGCTGCTCCAGCTCCTCCTCATCAACTTCGACGGTAGTAGATTGGACCGTCTCACGTAGTCGGAAAGTTTGCAGAAGTAGAGTGAAGAGCGGCGGACTGGCTTTGACAAGCTTGGCCTTGGTCTGATTGTTGACAGTCGCGCGCAAAAGCTCAAGCTGCTCAAGTGACGCATCGAAGCCTTGAGAAGCGGCATGTGGCCACGTTGACTTGATAGCAGCGAACACTTCCTGAGCACCGAGATGCTCAGATACACTCTGGAAGAAACTGCTGCGGCTTTCGTCGCAGGACTGTTCCAGATCGGCAGCAGCAGAGCGTTGGCATAGTCGAAGAGCGGTGTCCAAGTAGTCGCGCGAGAACATGTAGCCCAAGCGCTCGACAATGTTCGAAAGCACGGTAAACACAGCGTTGTGAAGACCAGTCTTTTCCTCTTCGATCGCATCCGATAGATATTGGAATGCTGTTGGCAACACGGTAGGGAGGAGCGAGATGGCCTCATCTTCGAGAACGTCAACGACAGATGTGAGGCAGAGGAGGGAGAGGATGCGAAGGCGATCATCGCTACTGGAAAGCGATTGGGGACCGGACACAACTTGAGCTACTGATACAACAGCAGATACGTCCTTCTTCCCGAAGCGGTCGACGATGCGATCAATGCAGCTGACAGAGACCATCTTGGCATCCATGTCAGGTGATTGTTCCAGTAGATCCTGAACGCTAGGCAAGAAAGAGATCAGGGCCTCTACAGATTTGCGGTCGTTCTGCTTGGCGGTGCCCGCGCGCAGCTCAACCGACTTGACGGCAGCTACCTGGACGTGAGAGTCTGTGCTCGCAAGAAGTAGCTGTGCTGATTTGATAAGGTCGGTCGTTGGC